AGGAACCAGGGTCTCCTGCATTTCAGGCAAATTCTTTACCAGCTGAACTTCCTAGCAAATTCACTGTTCCAAAAGACAGCTGCCCTGAGCGTGTGTGGCTGTCAGCAATCCACCCTGGAGGTTGAAAGGAGGCTAGAGTGTCCTCCAGGAGGAGACCAGACTCAGCAGTGCCAGGAACATCATGTGACACCTTCAGAAGTTGGCCTCTGCTTCTTCCCTCTCTGTTGGTCCATAAACGTGTGTAACTTCACAAGCTTGTTGTTGGCAAGTCCAGGCCCCTTTTTATGCAGCTGGGTTTAAAGATCTGTGTTGCTGGCAGCCAGCGTAGCAACTGGGGCTCTGGGTTAGATAGCTTGGTCCAAACAAAGTGAACTTCCCCAGCAGCAAGGGGAGAGAGCACTGGATCCAGGAAGACCAGACCTGGGTTCACTTTCTGGACCTGCCTCCTTCAGCCATGTGACCTCAGGCAAGTCCTCCCACCTCCGTGAGTCTCAGATGCCTCTGCTGGTCACAAGGGAATGAGACCTACGACCTCCTCCGTTCCTCTGAGCTTTAGTGTGTTAGTCGCTCAGTCGTACTACTCTTTGTGACCCTATGGACTGTAGCCTTCCAGACTCTTCCATGGAATTCTCCAGGCAAGAATACTGGAGTGGGTTGCCATTTCCTTCTCCAGACTCTCTTCCCCACCCAGGGATCGAACCTAGGTATCCCACATTGCAGGGAGAGTCTTTACCATCTGAGTCACAAGGAAGTGAGGCCATATACATAAAGTACCACAGGGTCCTGCCACAGGCTATGGGTTCCCTCCCCTTGCACCTGAGCTATGGAAGGTGAGCCCCAGATTTCTCAAGGGTGCCTCCTAGGAGCTAACCAAGGAATCAGAGGGCATGGTTTGGGAGAGAATTGTATACTTGGTTCCTTAGCAGGCATTTATTAAGCCCCAGCTGTGTGCTTAATAAATAATAACACCAACAAAAAATAATATCACCAAGGAACAAAAGCACAACTCTGTGCCATGCCCCCTGTGGACTACACAAGAGCCAGGACACATTCCTCAAGTCTGGAAGGAGAGCAAGGACAGATAGGCAAGCGAGAGTCAAAGTGAAGTAAGCAGGTGGGAGATATGGGGGCGGGGGGCACTTCTCCTTTAATAGTTCTTCCTCTCTCTCCCTCTCTGACTCCATCTCCTCCTCCTCTACTTTTATATCCATTGATAAAACAATGTTTCTTTCCTGTAGGTACAGCTCCTTCTGCCAATAAAGCTCCTCCTACGTTGTCCACCATGCGTGCAAGGTGGGGTAGAACACCTGCATTGGGTATTGTTAAAAGATAAACTGATGCACATTAAAAAATTGTTTTTACCAGTTTATTTGAACAAAAATCTCTTGGAATCAGCAGCGCCAAACCGCAAGTGGTTAGGAGCTCTCAGTGGTCAGGAGCCAGCTGGGAAGGACCTAAGCAGAGAAGGTGCAGAAGCCAAGGAAGAAGCTGTTCGGCTGCAGCGTAACGTCTGGTTGGCTCTCAGTGACTGGTCCTCAGAGTTTTTATTTCATAACCTTGAGGCATTTGCAGGCTTAGATTTTGGTTTGCTCATACAGACCCCTCCCCCCTCCACCCAAGGGCATCACAGCCGCCTCACTCAAAGGGTCTCCTTGTTTAATTAACAAACCCCAGTTCCATAACTAACTGGGTGACCCTTTTTGTGTTGTTGAACCTCGATAAGCTTCAGGCCTCATCATCTGTGTAATTGGGTTGTTAATAATCTTTCCTGTAGAGGATTATCATTCGATGTAAAGGAGAAAAAGGAAGTATTTCCACCTGGCACGTAATAAGTGCTCATCACCTGGACACTGTTGTTGACCGTAAAGCTCACCCTAGAACCAGGCTGAGGGGACTGGAAGCCTGGCTCTGCCGCTTATGATCTGTATGATCCCAGGTGTTTCCTGACCTCTATGTCCAGGTTCTTCCCCAAGGTTCAACGATCTGTATGGTCAACATTCAAAGAGGGGGCCTTTTTCATTTTATTTCACTCTCATTTCTATAGGACTACTGTGAAAATTAAAATGAAATATATATTCATAATATGTTATATTATGTATATTACTTAGATGACTGCTTGGCTTACAAAAGCACTAAAGGAGTGTTTGCCATTATTTTTGTGTTAATTCATCTAGATCACATATTCATGAAATGTGAATGTAACACTTAAGTGCCAGGCAATGAACAAACCTATCCTCATGGAGCTTACATTTGAGTAGAGAAACAGATATGATAAAGTAGGATGCTGGGGAAGCCAGGAAAGGGTATAAGATGTGCTGAAGGTGGAAATGGGGGAGTTTATGCTTAAATAGAATACCTTTTGAGTAAAGGCCTGAGGAAGGGGGAGGTTCAAGCCATGCAGGTGTCTGTGGGAAACACACCCGGGGCAGTCACAGAAGATGAGACATGCTCTCATGAAGCTGGCCTTGCCATCATCCAGTCAGCTCAGGATGGCCACCTTGAGAAGGCTGAGTCCTCTGTAAACACTGCTTCCTCTTAATAGCCTGTTAATCCCATCCCAGCATAACATTGGAGGTCTCTTCTGATCCTATCTCGGCTTGTGTTTGTGTGCACGCAAAGCACAAAGGCCCTAAGTGAGGACAAGCCTGACGTGTTTTAGGAACACGACGCAGGCGAGCGTGGTCGAGGGGTACGGAGCCTGGGCAAGAAGTGGGGGCATGGTACGAGGAGACAGTTGGGAAGGCAGTGTGTGCAGGTATGAGGGCTTCCTAGGCCATCATAAAGCTCTGGCTTTCACATGATAGCACAGGGGTCGTATCCACACTGCAGACAACTGAGGGTTAAAGCAATGTGGGGACCTGTCCTGGGCGACTCACGGCAGACCTGGAGCCAGGCTGTGATTCCTGACTCGGCACTCTTTACACGACACGAGCGGCTTCCCACTCTGCAGGGCTGCGGGGCCCTCATCTCACTCGTAACTCACAGCGACACTTGGAGACCGGTGTTATCATCTCCGTTTAACCCACGAGGACACTGAGACTTAGAGACACTAAGTAATTTGCTCAGAGTCACACAGGATTGGAGCCAGGACTGGCTGACTTCAAACACTAAAGCCTGTTCTATGAACTCTCTTTCCCAGGTAGGAATAAAGAAAGGTTGCTTCAGCCAGCCAGTTACATTATAGGTACAGGACCCAGGATGGTACACGTAAAGCACTGATTTCAGCATCCAGCACATGGCAGCTGCTCAGTAAGTATCGGCTCTTACTGTCAGTAGCCATCTGAGGCCTGTCCACTAGAAGTTGGTGCCCATTTTGGCCAGAACCCCTCTACTCAGAATTCCTCTTGCCTTGGGCTGCAGTCATTTAGCTTTGTCACCATGACAACCATCCCTTTGTTAGAAATACCTTCTCTCCAACTCCACATACATACCCGTGGGGGATGAATTTAGGGCTTGAAAAGATACATCTAGGTTGGGAGCAATAAGAAAGAATTGATGGAGAGACAAGACAGCTTTGGGCAGGAAAAGAGCTCTCTGTAGGAGGCACCCGCTCTTGTCACTAACCTTACACCAGGCCCGCATGCTCTGCTCACCTCTGGCCCTGGCACACTTTGCACATCTTTTGATCACAGAGTACTTTGTCTAACTTCTTGTTTCTTTCCATAGATCAAAGAAACAGAAGTAAAGAATAAGTAATTAACACATCACCAGATCTCCTCCCCAGCTTCCCCTTCACTGATCTTTTGAACAAACGGTGTGAACAAGATAACATCTAAAGAAATAAGAAAGGTCAGACAGAGTCAGCAAGCCTGCACACAGTGGGGGATGGTGGCGACTCTGACCCCCCCTTCCCCCACCCCACCCCCCCCACACCCCCCCCCCCACCACCGCACCAGCCCATCTCGATGATTAACTGAGGTTATTTCCCTGTTTCCCTTTAAAAGCTTTTACGGCCGAGCAGAATCTTCAGAGGTGGTTTTTTGGGGAAGGCAGAGACCCACCGTGTCCCCCGATTGCTGGCATTCTGAATAAAAGGCAACTTTCCTTTACATCAACATTTGTGAGTACTGATTTTGAAAGCCGTGAACATTGGGACCCAATTCAATAAGAGAGAGAGAGAAAAGACAGAAACACAGAGAAAGAGAGATCAGAGATGGAGTGACGGCACGGAGTCACGATTAGAAGCCCTGTGTTCACCCTTTTGATCCTTACGTGGAGCACAGGTGCTGGGTGGAGTCCAGTGTGAAACCCTTCTCTGTACTAACTCACTCTGAGTAAATCTTTATCCCTTCCTAGGCCTCAGTTTTCCCATCTGTTTTTGTTCTTCAAGGCCCATTTCTTTTCTTTTTTTTAAATTTATTTATTTGTTTTTGGCAGTACTGCATGACTTGTATTTTGTTCCCCAACCAAGGACTGAACCCAGGCCCTTCGAAATGAGAATTCAGAGTCCTCACCGCTAGACCACCAGGGAATTCCCCAAATGCCCCTTTCATTTCTCATAGTCTCCATTCATGGTCCTTGACTGGCCTTCCTAAAACAGAAAACACTTCCACTAATTGGTAAAGAACAGAATTTATTCGGAAAAACCAGTCAGTACAATATGCACCACAGGATATCGCTTAGCTCACATCACAGACATGGGATAAGAAACTTCACAATAAATTAGGGAAGCCACCCTCTCCCTCCAGGATGGCCCCACAGGACCTCGCAACAGACATATTTTGTTACAAATATAAAAACAGCAGACTGCTTGGATACCTTCAGATGAGATCAGACAAGCTGGGCCCAGCCGGTGAGATTTTAGCCACAAGGTGAGGTGTGCTCAAACCCAGAATTTCCCCTTACAACACCTCAGCCCAGAGAAGAGAATCCCAAACAAGTAGGAAGACTTCCTCAAAAAGACCCCCATTTGCATAAAACAGGGCCTCCCCCACCTCGCTCCCCTTCCAAGTTGGCTGTCCCCCACCAGAAGCCTCTCAGGGGCTGTTCATCCCCCCAGATCAGCTTCCTTGTCTTGAGGCAGCGGAAGTTCCTCCATGATGCTTGTCAATCCAGGCTAGAAAGACGTCCAGCTCTCCCAGAGCCTTAATGGCAGCCGATCGGACCTCCAGCTGAAACCGTGCAAATCGTCATCACACCCTGCCTTTCTGAGCTGTACCATAGTTTTCAGTCACTTGCCCCATGTTCTGGTCCCCATGAGGTTTGCTTTTAATGCAACCATTATCTCTGCAGGGCCTGCAGACCCCAAATTATTTTCCTAACAGATGACCTAACAGATGTTTTCTACAAACACACAGTTACATCATGTCAGCAACTTATAAACAAAAGAAGAAGTGCTTCATTCTTTGCCCTCTTATTTTTCTTTTTCCATATTTCACAGAAAAAAAACAAACAGACAAACTTGCTTTTCTGGAAGCTCTGCTTACTTTCCTGTTCGCATCAGCTCGGGCTACTACTGCCACTCTCCCTGAAAGCCACAGTCCCCGAGGGGCCCAGCAGTGAGAAGAGGGAACAGCGTATCTCCGCTGGACGTTGCAGCCCCTAAGTCAAAGTCACGCAGCCCAAAGTCACGCAGCCGACTGGTAGCAGAGTTAGACTGGAAGCCAAGTCTCCTGACTTATTCCAGCTCTACCTCAGCAGAGTGGAGGAGATGGTAAGACACAAAAGTATGTCCTGTGGAGCCAGATGGCATGGGATTAAGCCCTACCTCCATCAGTTGGTTGTGGTATAAAGTTAAATTACGTAACCTGTTTGTGTCTTGGTTTTCTAATTTATTAAATATAGACAATGGCTTGTAGCATTGTGGTAAGGAATAAGTGTGCTGCTAATACCTTTACTGCACTTAATACCTGGTTCACAGGAAGAACCATATGAATTTCAGCCATCGTGATATTACTCTGTGGAGCCTCTCCACAAAGAAGAAGAGCTCTGAACAGACCCTGCAGCTCCTTGTTATTCAAAGCAATTGCCTCAGTCCGGGATTGTGGGAGAACCACAGCATTTCAGACCTCATTCCAGATCTACCAGCCAGAATCTGCATTTCAACAGAATCTAAATGATGCAGGTAAGAGACATGCTAACTCTACCTCTACATGAGGTGCACATACAACATCCGCACCTACATGAGAAGCGCTGTTCATCACCGCACAGGACGCTGATGACAGTTCCTAGACACAGTGATGCAAAAACACGCTACCAGGTAGCACGTTTCATGCATAACAGCTTACAGCTCACTGGGGCTCTTTGCTCCCTCTGCATTGTGCGCGCGTGCTAAGTCAGTCAGTCGTGTCCGACTCTGTGTGGCCCCATGGACTGCAGCCTGCCAGGCTCCTCTGTCCTTGGGATTCTCCAGGCAAGAATACTGGAGTGGGTTGCCATGCCCGACCCAGGGATCGAACCTGCATCTCTTACATCTAACCTGCATTGGCGGGCAGGTTCTTTACCACTAGTGCCACCTGGGAAGCCTCCCTCTGCCTCAGCCCCATCTTAAATGGTGTGTGCTTTCCCTCAGATCTGAACATAGTTCTGATATGTGAAAAGAAAACGGTGGAGGCATAATGGGGAAGGAGAGCCCAGGAAATTAACAAATGAGGTAAGACCAGCACACTCTGCAGACACAGAACTGGGAAAACCGGCCATCAATACTATTGGGTAAATGGATGAATTTGAGCAGGGAGGAGGCTGCCCATTCAGGCTGCTACATCGAATCTCCACCTTCCCTGTCCTCTCCCACTCCCTTACCTGATCATAGTTGTCATGGATGATTCTGGTTGCATTGGTTGCTTCCTGTCTGCAGTGACACAGCTTCTGCTGTGATAAAATGGAGATAGCATCCATCAGAACCATTTCAGAAGGCCACATGGGGCCAGCGTGTCCTGGGCTCCATGGGGCAGACAGCAAGCAAATGCTGGTGACTCACACATTGTTGTAGAGTCTTCCGCATGTAGAGGAAAGCGTTGGCAAGACTGCTGATTTTTCTCATGATTTGGGGGCTCAGCTCCTGATGGTCCTTGAACACTCTGTCCACATAAAATGCCAGGAGGTTCTTGGTCACGCAGCATACATCTAAGGGCTACAGACACAAATTAAGGATAGCCCCGGAGGACCTCTTCTCATTATCCTAGAGACAAAAGCAGCCTGCTTGGGTTGGGGCAACAAGGAGTGAAATAACTAAAAGCCATTTTTTTACATTTGTATTGATCTGAGTGGCCTCTTATGACACCAAAGCTGCTTATGACAGAGCCACCAAGAAGAGATTGCAGTTCTTACCCTCTTTTCACATGGCCAGGAGATATATTCACAAGGGATGGAGCCCAGCTCTAGGCTAGAATTCTGTCTGCAGCATCCCTGACATATCACTAACTTCTGCCTAACTGCTTCCAGGAATCAGACACCTCCCTTTTGAAAGGAACGATGTCTGAGCCGCTTTCTTGAAAAGCACTTCCTTACATTGTGCTGAAGTCTGCGTCTCTGTAACATCCCCTAGCCACTAACAGGTGTTTACTCAGTGACTGCTGCATGGCAGGCTTGTGCTAGACACATATTCTTTTCAGTGTGATGACTGCTCGTCTCTCCTCCAGTCTGTTCTTTTTAAACTTCAGGGATCACTTGATTGGAGTGGAGATATGCAAAAATGGAAACTGACAGCTGCAGAAATGCATGCATCTGGGCAGGTCCTCCTCAGAAAAGCTTTTGACTTCCTTGGGCATAGCTCAGGGCAGCTGGCCAGCCAGAGTTTCCTTCTTGCAGTCTGCACTCCACCCTAAGAGCCAGTGTAGGAGATTTATAGGTCAGTCTGAGAAAAGAAGGGTCTATAGCAATGGTGCATCTATATCTTTAGCATTAAAGCAGCAAAGCCTCCTTGGTCCGATAGGTAGCTTTTCCTGTATGGAAACTGAACTTGCAACACAAAACCTCTCCTCTTCCTCCGTTCCTTCTAATTCCCTTCACCAAAGGGGTAAAAAGTTGTAACCTTTGTCTCATCAAAGAGGGAGAGGGGAAGAGAATAACTATGAGAATGACCTGTATATTCATTGACCACTTGCCTTACGCCACATCAACTTGAGAGGACAAAGAAACAGGGGCATGAGACTTGAGAGTCTGTTTCTGACAACCACTACTAACTAGACATTCTTTCTCCCAAGGCGCCAGTTTGGTCATTTGAAAATGATGGTTTCAAAATAGATGGCCTTTGGGTCCCTTCCAGCTATAAAATCCTGTAAGTCTCCTATACCATTGACTAGAATAGAATTTAGGAAGTGGCTCCTTGTGTTTACCATAAATAAATCAGGAGCCTAATGCTGCCTAGAAGAATGATCTTGTTCCTTATACTCTGTCACATAAATAACCGAAAGAACTGGGTTTCTCTAAATGCTATCAAGGACTGGAGGAGCTCACTTTTAAAGGTACTTCTCATTGGCCCTTTCTGTGAAGTGAATCATCACCTCATAAGTCAACTGTCTTCTAACGCACGGACTCTCAGCACCTCTAGTCTGGCAATTAGACATTCCCTCCCTGCCTTCTGGCCTCAAGCTGTCTATCGTAAAGAACATCACCAGGCTGTCTTTCTAAAAGACTTTGTGGTCACCGGCTCTGGTTCGAAAACCTGCAGGAACTCCCTGTGGCCTGTATTATAAGGCCACGGCTCAGAATTCTCTGGCTGTCCCGTGGTTCGGACTCCACGCTGCTTCTGCTGGTGACACAGGTTCCCCAGCTGGGTAACCGAGATCCCGCAAGCCGCTTGGTATGACCAAAAATAAATAAAGCTGAGGCTCAGCCTGACTTTCAAGTTTGCCTCTTTTTTTTTTTCTTCTGTCGCGCCTCTTGGCTTAAGGGATCCTAGTTCCCTGACCAGGGATTAAAACCATGCCCTCGGCAGTGAGAGCACAGTCCTGCTTACTGGACCACCAGGGACTTCACCCCGGCCGTCTCTCTGTCCCCTCGCACGTATTTCCATTGACCTTACACACCTATTCTCCCCAAACCCTTCCTTTCTTTTAGCCACTAACCCCAAGCCTCTTCAGCTTTTGAGACACTGTTCATTGTCTCAGCTTCCCCACCAAACCTCCCAAAGTCACTCTAAGCCATAGAAGTCCTGCCCCATCGGGCATGTGACACCTTAATCCCTGTTGGGGTGGACACCCTCCCTGGGGTTCAAGTTCCCTGAGATACCAGCACAGCCTCGCACATCAGCCGACACGTGAGGGGTCGGCGGAGCCTCAGAGTCCGGGGAGGTCTGCTAAGAGGCGCTCAGGGCGCGGACTCCCGCTCAGCCCGGCCGCTCCCCACAAACCGCAGAAGAGGAGCGAGCAGACAGAGGCTGGTACCTGAGTGCCGTGCAGGGTCTCCGGCGGGGACAGGATGGTGACGCTGTGGAAGGTGTCCTTAGCCTGCTGCGGAGGGAAACACGATGGACACAGGCGTGAGCACCTCACATCCTCCAGAGACACCGAGGTGACTAGCAGGAACTGGCTGTCACGCTAAGGGTAAGTGAGGCACGCCCCCACGCCTTCACCCCAAACCCGCACTCACAATGGCTGTTTTGATTCCTCGGAAGCTCTCCTCCACACGGCGCAAGTTCATGGAAATGAGGCATCTCCTGAGGCCTCGGGCGTGCGCTGAGCACAGGAAGAGCCCGGCACCCAGGAGGCAGAGGGAGACGCACGGTGCCTTCATGTCCTGCAGGGAGGGCTGACGTGAGCTTCCGCCCAGGAGACCCCGACTGGGTCCGCTTCGGACCTCGCGAGGCCGGCCCGAGGCAGCCCAGAAAGCAGGACCCAGGACCTCAGCCTGCGGACCTCGGGGCATGTGTCTCCTTCTCCGGTTTCTTTGAATCGGTTGAGTTAGCCCTTCCCTGCCTCCCGCCCCTCGCTGCGCCCACTCCACCCCCGGAAAGCCTGATCCGCAGCGCTCTCCCAACTTTCAAGGAGTGAACTTGTGTGTAAATCATTCTCATGACTCAACACGGCTCGTTTTCAACAGGGGTGAGAAGCATTTTTTTTAACAAACAGAAAGAAAAAAAAAAAAGGAAAAACAGGGTTGGTAACATGCCCTAGAAATTAGGCAACAGATCTGAAAAAACCATAAAGCACATTTCACTTTTTTATGTTTGCCCTCGAAATAGCAGACATCTTTTATTATATCCCCACTAAGTTACATCCCCACTTTGTAACTGCTTAAAATCATTCCTTTGATGCCAACTGTGAAGATGTCACCAGCTGAAGAACATGGGAAAGGGAGGTATGGGGCATCTAATAACCCATTAGCCGCAGTATCGAGGGGGACCCACAGATGGCAAGGTGGGGCTTCCCCTCCATCACCCACCGAGCCAGGAGGTGCAGGGGCGCACTGGCAGGGCCAGACCCAGATCCTTGCCACCCCCGCCCCCTGCCCAGTTCTCACACCCCTGCCTGACTCTGTCTTTGGTCTCGTTTCATTGAAACACTTTCAGTGGTGTCATGTAATATATCTTGAGAAAAGTGCCCAAAGCCTGATTGTACAGCCTGTTGAGTTATCCTCCTCTGACTTTTCTCAGCACCAGCACACATTTCACAAACAGAGCCAAACGTTAAAAAGAAGTCAGAGGGCAACACATGTGCATGGACTAGCCTCTGCCCGGGCGACGTCCAGGGTACAAACTGAGCGCTCAGTTCCAGCCACGTGTGTGCTGTGTAAGCGCAGTGGGCACCACAGTGGACGAGAGGGGGGCCGCGAGCATAGGAAGCCAGCTGGGGGCTGTGGATGCCCCCACTTCTAACCACTCCTGTGGGAGAGCGTGAGCTGTACCCCCCTCTTCCCCGACCCTGGGTCATCCTCTGGAGTCCCAGGCTCTTCTCCAGAAGCTGAGAAGTGGTAACTCCTGCTTAAAAAACCATGTTCCCTCACCTCTCCTTAACTCAGCAGCATTCCCAGCAAGGGACAGGTGTACGCCGGGACCTCAAGGGAGAGCAGGCATTATGCTAAAGAGCTTGATTTCTCTTCTTGCAACCCGTTTCTAGCAAAACAAGGAAATAGACCCCATTGACAGGAGAGGCAATAGAATCCCCCAGAGCTCTCTCCCCTCAAAAGACAACTGGGGTGCTTCTGGGGAGTCAAGTGACTAAAGGGGGCATAGTTTTTCTGCTGACAACTCTCAGAAGCAGTGGGGTGTTGCCCGCTCACCCCCACTGGGAGCCTCAGAGGAGAAAGATGTCCCTCAGGTGATTCCAGCCATTTCGTCTGATTTCAGGCAACAGTAGTAGCTAACATTTATCATGCCTCCCTCGTGCCTCGGGCCCCATGCCAAGTATTTTCCATAGTTATCTCATGCTCCCAGCCAGCCTCTGAGGGTGGTTCTCTTTCCATCCCCTTTCTACCTGAGAGGAAACTGACTTAGCGAGGTGGAGAAACCTGGCCAAGGTACGTGGCCACCGAGCGGAACCAAGACGAGAGGGCAGGCGGCCCGCTCCCCTCACCCCTGCACCACCCCACCCACGGCACCGCCCCCTAGATCTCAACAGGAGACCCAGCAGACCCCCTTGCAGCAGACAGACTTCTGCCAGGTCCCACCAAGCCAGTGATCCTTTTTATATTTAAAAATATACTTAATAACTGCAAATGATTAAAAATATATATACTGTCAAGTTCCTAGAAGTTTTTAGAATTAAAACAAATTCATAGTAAATGCTAGATTCTTTGCCTTGACCCTCCTACACTGCTCTGTGTGTGTGTTGCTCAGTCGTGTCCAACTTTTTGTGACCCCGTGGACTGTAGCTCACTAGGCTCCTCTGTCCCTGGAATTCTCCAGGCAAAAATCCTAGAGTGGGTTGCCATTACCTTCTGCAGGGGATCTTCCTAACCCAGGAATCGAACCCAGGGATCCCACATTGCAGGCAGATTCTTTACCATCTGAGCCACCAGGGGAGCCCACTACACTGTTGATGGGAATGTAAATAGGTGCAGCAGCTATGGAAAACAGCATGGAGGTTCCTCAATAAACTAAACAAGGAGTTGCCATATGATCCAGCAATCCTACTCCTAGGCAAATATCCAGACAAAAATATAATTAAAAAATATACATGCACCCCTTTATTCACAGCAGTACTAGTCACAATAGCCAAGACATAGAAACAACATAAATGTTCATTGACAAAATGAATGGATGTATATAATGGAATATCACTCGGCCACAAAAAATAATGAAAGAATGCTACTTGCAGCATCAGGGATGGACCTAGAGATTATTGTACTAAGCGAAGTAAGTCAGAAAGAGAAAGACAAATGATGTACTTCTATGTGGAATCTAAAATATGACACAAATGAACATAAGAGAAACAGACTCACCGATATGGAGAGCAGACTTGTGGTTCACAAGGGGGAGGGAGGTCGGGGAGGGAAGGACTGAGAGTTTGGGATTAGCAGACAAATTATTGTATATAGAACAGATAAGCAACAGGGTCCTTCTGTGTCACAGAGGGAACTATAGTCAATATCCTGTGATAAACCATCATGGAAAGGAATATGAAAAAGTATATATATATACACGTAACTGAATCACTCGCTGCACAGCGTAAGTTAACACAACATTGTAAATCAATACACTTCAATAAAACTTAAATAAGATCATCATGTTTCTGAAAACAAAATAGATCCCTCCCTCTTCCATTTCTTCCTTCCTCCTTTCCCACTCTGGCTCTCTACTTATTGAGAAGAAAGGACTAGAAAGTTCAACTGGAACACCCCTCCCCATTCTACAAAACGCCCAGCACCTGGAATTCCGTAGGCCGCTCACAGCGACTGCAGGTCACTTCTCTGCAGCTGTGAAGGAAGAGGGCTGGGATGGTGATGAGCAAAGCCTCAGGACGGACGCCGCGAGCCTCGCCTCTCACAGGGTGCTCAAGGGCCACCCTATGCCTTCTCTCTGCACTCCTTGCCGCTTGGAAAGGGCTGGTCACTCTTATGCAGGTGAACACAAGGAAATGCTGTCAGGATTTACTGGGTGGGTCCATCTGGGGGGAGATCATCTTTCCCCACCTTTCCTCAGCATCTTATTTCCTGAATTGTTTTCTTTTTCTTTTCAGATACAGCTGATTAATCATTATTAAGAAATGCGTCTTCTCAGTCTTGACAGGCAGCTTCTAGGAAAAATGAGCTCCCCAACTCTATGCAAATGAGATTTTCTTGCAATTCTGTGTCCATACAGAAAAATCCAAGTTAGATCACTTTCCTGAGAGCTGTGGCATGTCGCCAATTGTACCCTGCAGGCAACGCCAGGAAAGCAATCTTCTGACAGCCACGCCTGCCACAGTCAGCCCTGAGACTCTGCAGGTGCCCCGGCTCCAGTCCTCTCCCTCTGCCCGAGCTATTCAGCACCTGACTTGTGCCGGGTGCTAGCTAAAGGCTTTACGTGCATTATTTTGTTTAACTTCGTCAGGAGGGTTTTTTCTTCCTCTCGCGGAAATGTGAGGGTTTCTTTGGGCATCTTCTCTTCTCCATCTTGTCCCTTGGACAGCCCTTTCTTTCTTAATCAATGCAGAGGGAGAAAATGAGACTGCGAGGCAGAGGAGCTTAGCAGCCAGGAGCAGGTCGGGAACAGAGACTGGAATCCTCGATCTTGGGCCAAAAGACTCTGTCTAAATTGCTTTTTTTTTTTTAATACAATCTCTACACTACCAGTTCTTCAAGAATCAGGGTTTAGGGTTATGGTGATAAAAAAAAAAAAAAAGATAGGGTGTAAAAATTTTTCTCTCCAAACAAGAACTCCCGAAACAGACAGAGCTTGTTTTTACCAAAATGAAACAGCTTGGGGATGGGGTGTGATTATAAGAAACTCCATGGGCCCTTTGGACAAGCTGGAATGTAATGTGCGCTGCGGCCAACCTGGGGAGACAAAGTGGTGGGCAGGGCCCTAGCGGGGAAGGAAGAAGGACAGGGAACATTGAGGACAATTTATGGGCAAAGATGCCAGGAAGTGGAGCCACAGGGGGCTGGATGTCTTGTGGTCCAGTATCTTGCATTTAATGAAATAGTACACGTTGAGGGAAGCAGTCGATTGTAGTGGTCACAGCGTTGCTCTAGATTTAAACCCTGGCTCTCCCTCTTCTCGGTGAGATACTGGACAAGCTACTCAAAACCGCCCTGCAGTTTCCTAAAATAGGTAAAAATAAACTGTGAGGTTCTGAATGATCTAAAGGACTTGACCCTGGTGAGTACTCCATAAATATTATTTATTCTGATGCTGTGTGTTAGGCACCTGGAAAAGGAGAAGACACCTTTTTAAGACTTAGTGTCTCTTTGCTCCTTCTGGGGAGGAGAGGAAGAGCTACTCTTGAGTCCAGAGATCTCCCCCTCCTCACTCCTGCTTCTCCTGGGAGGGAGACGGGCAAGGAGTGGATGCTGTTTTTCCCAGAACTGCCTGAGCTGCAGGCTCATAGCTCACAGATGGTGAGTGGATTGCAACACTGTCTGTGCTGACTCTTAGCCTGTATTCATCACCTTGTGCTCAGACTGTGTGTTCTCATCCAACTTTGATTTCAGGACAAAGATGTCACATCAGGAAGCTTGTAGAGAAAGGAAAAATATGTGCTGTGTTCATAGCTCCACTCCAGTATACACTGTATCATAATAACTGGGACTGCAATTTTGGAGTCAGCCAACTCAGGCTGACTGCCTCTGCTTGATTTGGCTGTCAGACCAGA